CTCCATTTTTCCATGAACTTAATACACTATATGCATGCTGGATAGCAGTCGATGTGTGGAGTAATTGTAGTAGATGCAGGCAGGAGTCGGTCTACTAATCTTGGACGTGATGCCTATATAATGATCAGTGCCCACATATCGTCACAATTATTTGAAGTTTTATCAATTGCCTAACAGTAATTTGTTTACCCACCGTATGCTATTTTTCTCGAAAGAAGCCACTAGTGAAATCTACGGCCCCCGGGTCTCTTCTTTATTATATTTGCCTTCGAGATCTATTTTGATTTGCTTTTATTTTCGGATCTGTTAATCCAAAAACACAAAAATACTTTGCTGCATTTTATTTTATTCATGATCTGTTTATTCAATCTATTACAACTTTCTCCCGTCCACGTGCCAAAATCTGGCGCCGTTACCTGAAAGGGATTGGCAACCCTTTAACACGTCGGGTTGCAAGTATTTGTTCTTTGTGTGCAGGAGCTGTTTACATGGTGTTGCGTGGTTCTCCTACTGGTTCGATAACCTTGGTCTCATCACTGAGGGAAATACCTACAATTGCTGTGCTGCATCATCCCTTCCTCTTTGGGGAAATAGTGACGTAGTTCAATCAGACATCACCTCTCCATTCATATGTTGAGCCCTAGGGTCGAAACTTGGAGTAAAAGCCTCCTCAAAGTCGATTTTGCCCGAAAGGCAAGAGTCCTTCTCGAACTCCAGGGCTAGACGCCTGGGTCCCTGGCGTATGACCTCTGGTCTCCGCAAAACTCCCTATTGCACTTTCCAAAAGCCTCGTGGGCTTTCTCCTTTGGCCCAAATAAAGTGTTCTTGTACCCAAACATTTCGGGAAACATCCGTAACCCCTTCCGGTGAATTTCGGAACCTTTTTGAAGATCTAACACTATTATCCATATATCAATCTTTACCTTTAGACCATTCCGGAGCTCCTCGTCATGTCCGTGATCTCATCCGGGACTCCGAACAACATTCAGTCACCAACATACATAACTCATATAATATTATATCATCAACGAACGTTAAGCGTGGGGACCCTACGGGTTCGAGAATGACGTAGACAAGACCGAGACTCTTCTCCGGTCAATAACCAATAGCGGGACCTGGATGCCCATATTGGTTCCTACATATTCTAGAAGATCTTTATCGGTCGAACCTTTATGACAACATACACAATTCCCTTTGTTTGTCAGTATGTTACTTGCCTGAGATGATCATCGGTATCTGCATACCTAGTTCAATCTCGTTACCGGCAAGTCTCTTTACTCGTTCCATAATACATCATCTCGTAACTAACTCCTTAGTTCTTTGCTTGCAAGGCTTCTTATGATTTGTATTACCGAGAGGGCCCAGAGATACCTCTCCGATACTCAAGAGACACCTTCAGAGATACCTGTAGAGCATCTTCCTGATCACCCAGTTACATTGTGACGTTTGATAGCGCACAAGGTATTCCTCTGGTATCCGGGAGTTGTACGATCGCATAGTCGAAGGAATATGTATTTGACACGAAGAAAGCAATAGCAATAAACTAAATGGTCAAATGCTAAGCTAACAAATGGGTCTTGTCCATCACATCATTCTCCTAATGATGTGATCCTATTATCAAATGACAACACATGTCTATGGTTAGGAAACCTTAACCATCTTTGATCAACGAGCTAGTCTTGTAGAGGCTTACTAGGGACATGGTATTTGTTTATGTATTCACACATGTATTTAAGTTTCTGATCAATACAATTCTAGCATGAATAATAAAAATTTATCATGAATAAGGAAATATAAAATAACAACTTTATTATTGCCTCAAGGGCATATTTCCTTCAGACCGGCCGAAAAGTTGGTCCCGGGTGCACAGGAGTGAGGACAAATTATTCAGGAAAGACTAGTGTTGGTCTGTGGGGATAGTCTAGATCCCTCCAGGCATAACAGCGGGAACCGGAGGCTGTGGCTGGGGCGTTACAGGTGGCTCACCGAGGGGAGCCCGGTGAGAGGCTCACCAAGGGGCCCACAAGGCCCTACGATGGGAGGGAGTCCCAACAAGGAGATTGCCACCTGATGACCATCTTGCCTCCCAAGCAAAGGGCGGCGGTGACCTAGATCGCATCTCCCCCCTGTAAAACCATAGTCTCCATCGTGTATATAAGGGGAGGCTAGATGGCTCTCTTCCCCATCTATCCTCTGTTAGAAAAACTCTTGTAGCAATCTCATACATCATTGTAACCCTCCGCATGAGTTATCCCTCCATCATGAATAACAAAAACAAGCAGGATGTAGTTTATTACTCTACAGAGGCTCGAACCTGGATAAAATCCCTGTGCGACCTCCGATCTGAGACTTCCAGCTGCACTTGGCCCCTACCGAGGTATCTGAAGGTTTTATGCAACGTCAATTGGCACGCTAGGCACGGCCGCGCATGGGCTGGAGATCGATCTCAGATCGGATCTTCCCTGCCCCCGAAAGGCTCCTGGGGGGTGGGGCAGAGCCTCACCTTTGACTCCCTCACCTTCACTATCGACGGGGCAGGCCAGGTTAACATCAACCCACCGGCCAACCTTGTACACAAGATCTACTTGGGTACCGTGGTCAGCGTCAACAACTACGACAACCTCCGTATGTGTCTGTCGCCGATCCAGCATATCACACAGGCATCTCCATCGGCTACCATGGCAACTTCGCCACCAACTGCGGGTCCAACATACCCGTTCAGGCTTCGGAACTCTGGAGCCGTGTACCAGCAGGATATCCTCAAACACCTGCACGACCAGATAGGCCAAGAGGCCGACGTCTGGTCAGATAGGTCGGGATACTCAACGCCCTCACCACTACCCTCTGGCTCCGAAGGCGAAGGTGCCCCAATGGCACTGGCACCCACCTCCTGGGCGTCGAGGGCTAGAGGTTGCACCGACCTCACAAGTCTCCACCAACTCGCCCCACCTCACAACTCGTCGCGATGATCTACATCAACTTCCTCATCACCCACATGCTGGAAGACCGCGTCATCGACGGGATCACCTCCGACGGTAGCACCGACAAGGTCGGTGTCGTGTTGATCTCGGACAACAAGAGCAGCAACTATAAGTTGATCTCCCTCATCAGCGATGACGAAAACATGGGGCTGCCTACTATTCTAGAAGCCACAGACTTAGGCTCTTGCAGCAAGTCGAAGTCATCCGAAGAACCGGGGACAGCCAACCGAACTCTGGGGAGGCCTCCCAGACTGAGCCCTATAGGCAGTATCACTACAACAAGTAATAATGACCGTAATAGTGGGCACGACCACGGGCTCGATGGGCCAGGTACCACCCGCAGCGACCTCAACAATAACAAGCGCATGGGCTCGTCGCCCCACACCTCTCAGTCTCCGAGCCGCAGGCTGCTACAACAAATACATCTACGACACTGATAGGCACCACGCAACAGCGAGGCGACATGGCCGCGTCAGGATTCACACCTCCAAGAACAATGAAAACAATAAAGTTTTATAAGAAACAATGAACTAGTGCCATTGTGTTACCTTTCAAGAACAAAGAAAATGACAAAAAATATATAAAAAAACTCGCACACAACTTTGCTGAAATTTCACTTTTTTGCGAATGTGAAATTTCACTTTTTAAAGTATGCAAAGAATAATAATAATATAATAGTGCAATTTTTGCATATATTTAAATATTTTATAGTATATGTGTCTATACATTTACGCTCATCCAACATCCAAAAAATACCCACAAAAGAAAAACAAAACTGACTAATAGAGTAAAACAAAGAAACAAAATCTAAAAACTGAAAAGAGCAAAGGGGGAGAGGGGAGAGTTTGCTCGCACAGGAATTGACTAACCCAAATATGTGGTCAGTAAAAGAAAGCCCAAAACAAATCACAAAACAGAACAGAAAAAAGCAGAAATCAACGGCAAAAATACCCAAGTGTCTGATAATAACTTTTTAGGCGACTTAAATATATCTAAGTTGATGCCAAAAATACGCATGGCAAGAATACCAATGTAAAAAAGAAAACTCAACTAAAAATATAAAGAAAAGTAAAAGAAAAAACACATACAAACAAAAAAACATGCAATGAGTAACAAGCTTCAAGCCCAATAGAAATTTCAGACTTACCCCAAACAAGCCAAATAAAAAATTCAGCCTAAGGAAAAATCAACTTATCAAAACAGGGGCATGTCAAAATCAATTCTAAGGAAAATTTGCCTTACCCGAGCAAGTCTAAAGTCAGCCTAAAAAGCTGTGAAACAACACAAGAAAACAAAGCAACACAAATCTTGACAAAAGAATCAACGGTCAGAAAATTGATTTACCCAAATTTGAAAATCAGGCGACTTACATACAGCTAAAATGGTTGAGAAAGCCATCTACTTAGGCCCTGTTTGGTTCAGCTTTTATCAACGGATTCCGCTGCCGTGCAGCAGAATCTGAACCAAAGGGCGAACCCAGCAGAATCCGATTCCAGAAATCTGCTGCCAAAATCTGAACCAAAAGCGGAAGCAGCCCAGGACGTGCTTTCCAAAATCTGATTCCGCTGCGGGCCAAAATCTGAAAAAGTTGTATCAGCTGGTTTGCCAAATGAACTATATCTTTTTCAAATCAGATTTTCCACAACTGTTTTTCCACAGCAAATTTTTCACAGCTGCTTTTAGAAATCCACAGCCGAACCAAACAGGGCCTTATATGTTTACTGAAATTTTCTACTGACTGAGATTAGTATCAATTGATGAGATTTTAAGAATCTTAGTCCATTTTGAATTAGAAAGCCATTTTTCTAGTTCTGTTTTATGAGAGGCATGAAGGTGAGTGGGATCAATATCTATGTCGGGCGGGCACTAGGCAGCCTCCCCGCAAATAAATGTTAAGCATACAATTTACAATCTGAACTCAACGAAAAAAAAAAGAATAAAGAATCGAAACTATACAAAACTGTGAAAAACACCTAGGAAGCCAGACATGCATGTACACATATATTAGAACATTTGTCTTCAGAGCGTGCTGCATTTGGCCGGAGCGAACGACAGCGTCTCCTTGTGGATGTCGTAGAGTAGGTGAACGTTCTGCTGCTGGTAGTTGCCGAGCGTGCTCATTGCGCCAACAGTCTGGTTCCGCATTGCCAGGCACCACACCCTGGAGCCCAAGATCATGTAGTTCTCCACCGGCAGCACCATGTCCGCGCCGTCGAAGTGGAGCGTCATGCTCGGCATGGTCGGCGGCGTCGACGTCTCGGACGTCAGCGCGAAGCACAGGTCCAGCCCCGTGGAGTCCGACCCGTCGGCCACCGGCAGCGTCACTAGGGACTCAATCGCGGCACGGACTTGCTGGTACGCCGCGTCGATGAGCGACGTGATCGTCGTGCCGGAGTCGACGATGAGCCCGCCGGTGCCGTCGGTCCTCAGGGCGAACGCGTTGGGAGGGATGGACAGCGCCGTCGTGCCGACCGATATGCCCGTCAGGTTCAGGTAGTAGTACGTGCTCATGGGCGCCTTCGATGGGCTGGCCACGAACGGCGTCGTACGAACCCCGGTGCCGTTGAGCGCTGCCGACGGCCCCAGGAGGAGCGTGCTCGTGCTGTTGGAGTCCTGGAATCGCGTGAGGCAGTACGAGAACATGCCGGCGCCGAGCTGCGAGACGAGCGACATGCTTCCCCTGCCCAGCCCGACGAGGCCGGCTGAGCCGTTCCAGTCGTCGCTGCTGGCGTTGCTGCAGCCGAAGGCGATGCCGGGGACGCGGGTCTGGTCCGCGGGCGTGGAGCCGAACGTGAACGTCTCCACGCTCTGGATGCCCGCCGTCCACCCTGTGCCGTACGTCTGGTTGTACATGCAGGAGCACCCAGGCGGCGGGCTCGGCCCAGCCAGCGCGGCGCACATGCTCACGGAGCTGTTGCAGGGGAGCACGCCGAAGGTGGTGGAGCTGGATGGGTTGTACAGCTGCCCGGCCTGCTTGAAGCACTGGCTGCCGCAGGGCGCGCACTGCGTCCAGATGAGGTCGCTGCCCGTGTCGGCGATGGCCGGGTAGGACAGTGGCGGCGTGCCGATGGACAGCGTCATGATGTAGTCCCCGCCGTTCGGCAGGTCCTTCCGGGTTGACGCGGCGACGGTGCGGCCGCCCGAAGACGCGAGCTCCCGGGCGAACCGGGCGTGCCTGTGCATGTCCCGGCGCAGGGCGTCACGCACGAACTCTGTGGCGGAGACATCGGGGTTGGAGTGGATGAGCGTCAGCCCGACGCGGACGGCGGCAGCATTGGAGGCCCGAGCTGCAGAAAGGATCAGGAGGAGCACAGCGAGCGACGCCATTTGCACACACGGTGTCTCGAGCTAGACGATCGATGCAGTAAACAAGAATGGAATATGTAATGAAATGTTCAGGGTTATATACGGGAGATCCTGTGATGTGCATGCGATGAGCCGGCGACACTTGTTCGTAGTAGTACGTACTTGGTCAAGCACAGGCACATCATGCTGCGGTGGTCTTTTTGGTGTGTTGCCGGGAAATAACTGCAAAAGGTTTATCCTGTGATTATTGTCACATCATCACACCAAGAGAGTGATGCATACGATTACGTGCAGGTGCAGGCCAAAGTTTGAGGGATTAGGTGAGCTATTTGTTCGGCGTGGAGGCAATAAGAATTCAAACTTGCCTCCTAAACTGGCTGAGACTCGTGGTCGCCGGATAATTGCGTTCGCTCGTCAAAGCCGTCATGGTCCGAAAGCACGTAAGATACATGAATTGACTGAATCAATCAGGTGCTAAGAGAGAACCGCGTTGAGGCAGCGCGCGCCTGGAAACGCCTGTTACACTACATCATCGTCAACCAGATATAAATGATATGGAAAAATTGGTGATATGTGCAAACGTCAAACGACCGTTTCTTTGCTGAAAGGTACTCAAATGTTTCGGTTGTCAGATGCTAAAACTAGTCATTCTCTGAACCTGGTCAACTTACTATACCCTAAAACATATTAATGTACAGACCCAACCCAAATGTGACACGTTATCCATCAAGGCATCCAGAGCACAACACATGTCACTTTTTTTTTATGATCCTCATAATGCAATTTTGACTTTTTTGAATTTCCAAACGAAGGGGGATCTCCCACAAGTAGGGCGTTTCGGTGCCCAGGCTCATCTGCACCCGGTTAGAAAAAAATCGTAAAAAATAAATTCAAAAAATTCTTTTTTTTTTGTGCAGTAGACAATTTAATGCGTGAGGCCAGCTCCAAATTTCAAGTCATTTGGACATCTGAAGAGCCCTCAGCAAAAAAGACAAAACGAACCAAAACAGTACATCAACAGTAAACATTTTTACAGAACTTCAATTTGTCTTTTTTGCTAAGAGCTCCTCAGATGTCCAAATGACTTGAAAATTGGAGCGGGTCTCACGCATCAAATTGTGTACCTCACAAAAAAATTGATTTTTTTTTGAATTTTTCTAGTATTTTTTTTCGTCAGCGTGGGTGCAGATGAGCTCGGGTGCAGAGATGGATTTTCGGATCTCCCACTTCAATCTTTACATTAGTACTTTATAAAGGATGTTCGAGTACCCACCTGCTCGTGTACCCATGTCATTTGATCCACCCGCGCCATGTCGTGCCATGCTGCATGTTTGGCGCCCTCCTCCCTATTGGATTGCGTAATCCCATGGCTCACCACCACGTCGGCTCCGGGGGTCTATGACCTATGGACCACTGATGTTTGCGGGGGGCTTTGTGTAGTGTATTATGCTTTGGCAATGTGTATGTGTTTCCTATGTTGGGTAAGAGCAAATGTCGGCCTGACCTAAGGATCGCTCAGAGGCAGGTTCTCGGTCAGCATTTTTCGAGTCTAGTGCTCGAGGTGTGCCCGTAGGTTGTTGAGGTGAGGTGGTTGCTCGGTATGTTTGGAATGGCATTGTGGGGTGCAGGATCGATGGGGTGCAGGATCGATGGGGAGGTCGGTTGCTCAGCTTATGTTGTCTCGGCATTTCTTAAGTCTGGAACGCCAGGTGCACCCAGTGAGGGGATTGTCGGGGAAGGTACTTGGTTCGTGTGAGTCATAGTTTCCTGGGTCGGCATACACCAGTTTTCTTGATGTCGTGTTGGGACGTGCTTCGTGGATGCTAGGTTGGACACCGCTTGTCGGTTGCACCTTGTTCGTCGCCATGCAATGTTGCATCGCTGTGCTTTGCGGTGCATCGGAAAAGGATGTGCCGTGTGTTGGGCCTGTCTTGGCTTCTCCCGGACCCAGTGCGTCGGGTGTGCTATGAGGAGATCGTTGGGGAGGGTGCTCGATTTGTGTAGATCGGACTGCCCCAGGTTGCACATGTCGTGTTGCGGCGTGCTTCGTGACTGGTGGGTTGGATACCGCTTGTCGGTTGAGTCTAGCGTGTTTTTCGCCGCAATGCAACGTTGCATCGCTATGCTTGCGGTGCGCAAGAAGTGATTGCATCGTGTGATCAGCCGGTACAACACTTGTCCATTGCATCCCATGTGTAGTTCATGCTTCATCGCCATGCAATGTCACATCGTTGCGCTTGCGATAACACTACCAGGAAAAACCTTATAGGTGGAGGCTTATCAGTAACGCGGTCCTGTGTAGCGCCCTACTGCTACTTTGCAGTACCGCGTGTGTGCCGGAAGGCGCTGCTGCTAAGTGGTTGCCATCGTACCCACCGGGCTAGCTGTAGCAGCAGCGATTTTCCCAGGACACACGCTACTGCTAAGTAGGTAGCAGCAGCGCGGGAGCATACCCTCGCTATTGCTACTGCTACCTTATCCTCTTCGTCTCCGCCTATCTGTCCCCCTCCTCACTCACTCACCCTCCCTCTTTCACCTACGTCGTTGTGCTCCTCCCGCCATCGCTGCATTGTCGCCGTCTGCGAGCTCCTTCTCCTCCACGCCTCCGCTGATGCCCAAGGTGAGCTCGCCCAACCCTCCTCCTTCCTCCCTCCTCCTCCAGCTGCCACCGGCCCTCCTTCCTCCTTCCAGCCGCCGCCGGCCCTCCTCCCTCCTCCTCCAGCCGTCGCCGACCCTCCTCCTCCCTCCTCCCTTCTAGGGTTCATACTAGTTTATAGTTTGTAGTTTATAGTTTATACTAGTTTATAGTTTATAGTTTAAAGTTTGTAAATATACTAGTTTATAGTTTCTATATTATAGTTTGTAGTTTACTACATTTAGTTCGTAAAAAATGTCGCCTACTTGTTATATTTTGAAATTAGGGCTTTTTCTAGGGTTCATAGTATATTTTCAAATATATTTCAGCAATCAAACTCTAATTTATATTATGAAATTAGGGCATTTTTCTATGGTTCATAGTATATTTTAAAATATATTTCAGCAATCAAACTCTAAGTTATATGAAATTAGGGCATTTTTCTATGGTTCAAGAAGTAGACAGTAGGTAAAAAAATGGGGCATTTTTCCAGGGTTTAGGAACAAATTGCGCACAGTTTTTATTTGGAATCAAATTGGATATTCTCATAGGTTTTATTGTTTGCAGCGAAACTTCGAGTGGCCTATATTTTGCCAGAGTGCTGATTAATTTTTGTTCCGGCAAATTTTAGGCGCTCAATATGTCCTGCTTTAGCAAAGGTCATGCCGGATTTTTTCGTGAATTTTGGCATGACTTGTGCTAGAAAGTAGGAAATACCGAGTGTTGTGATTTGCCGGAAAGGGAATTAATCAACATTCCGGCAGAACATAGGCCATTTTTATGTCATTGCTCCATATATGTAACGGGTTGACTTTCAGTCTATCGATGCTACTTGAGTGACTTTCAGTCTGTCGATGCTACTTGAGTGTCCACCATATACTGTCGAAATATCAGAGAGGAAGAATTCCGACTGTTGTCGTAGGGGTCGCTTCCTCTTCCTTCTCTCGTGATATACCTTGGTAATGCATGAGAGGAGGGAGTGTCCACCATATACTGTTGAAACATAAGAGAGGAAGAATCCCGAGTATATCAGAGAGGGAGTGCTCACCATATACACCACATGAGATGAGAGTTTTCAATAAAAGACTCGACAGACTGACAGTCAACCCGTGATGAATATTAATGATTTAATTTAGTTTTTGTAGTACATATATTGAATTTTAGAAAGTTAATCTTTGAATTATGAACATATAAAATATCTGACGACGATTGAATCCCTGAGTGCGACTACTGCGGCGACGACCGAGGTCCGTGCAACAAACCTCACCTGGAAGATGGTCGGCGCTTCACTATTAAGCTTGACGAGACCTTCCATGTTTGTACGGTACGTAATGACGCCAAGTCTTTTTCATAATTAAGCGTGACTTCTGCTTCTTCAACATATAATTCCCATTTTTTACAATTCAACTAGTACATCCCTTGCCATGCAAGACGTTATGATGTAGGGTAGAACCCTAGAGGCCGATCTTTCACGTTTGGAGCGGATCCCTATGAGGAACACGAAGAACACGAGGAGGGGAACGAAGGAAAAACATGAGAGAAACACGCAACCAACAAGAATAAAGTCACACATGCGCTAGATAATCGAAACACAAGGAGAGATACAAGATCCAAGTCCAACAAAGGACGATACAAAGGGTAACCGGTTCTTCTCCGTGAGGAGGTCTTGATGAGGGTCTTCTCCGGATGGAGGTCTTGAACCCAAGTGGATCTTCTCCGAAGAGGTGTCGGTCCCTCACGAGCAGTAGATCCGGATGGATGAGCGAGGCTCTATCTCACAAATAAGCTAAATCAACACTAACCCTAGCTAGGAGGTGGGAGAGGTCTATTTATAGTCATAGTGCAAATGAGGGGCGAAGTGAAGGGGTACATGGGCATCAGCCCACAGCTGGACACAGCCAGGGTCCGGACGTCCGTGAGGCGCCGGTCGTTCGAAGGACCGCGGGGTTCCGGACGTCTGTGGTTCTTCGGATGTCCGCAGATTCCGTTCTGTGGTGGCTGGCACGGTCGTCCAGACTTCTTCGGATTTCCGTGATTTCTGTTCTGTTGGCGGAGTGTCGGACGTCAGGAGGGGCTCGGTCGTCTAGAGCCTGGGAGTGGCCGGACGTCCGGGCTGGGCCGGTCGTCCGGATCCTGTAGCTCTGGCTGGCCTCTCTTCCCTTGGCTGTAGCGACCTCCAGGGGTCGGACGTGGCTAGGCCGGTCGTCCGGAGCCTGTAGCTTCCAAAGCAGCTCTTCTTCTTATCCTTCACGCTTGGTGTCCTCGCCTTCTTGGCCATTGAATGTAGCTGGTCCGTGGCTCCCTTCCAAGCACCTGATCACACATAGAGTCTCCGTATGAGGTAGTATCCATGTCTCATGAGTAGGGAGAGGGAGTTCGGAGAGGA